AAGGAGAGGAGCAAATGGGGGGGAGGGGGGAGGGGTTTGTGCGGGGAGAGCGGTGCAACAATGAATGAATGGAATTCCAAAATCTTTGTAGATGTTCATTGAAATGAAAAATAAACAAACTAAATTTAAAAAAAAGAAACAACAACAACAATAACAACAAAAAACCACCTTTCAGTTGCCAACTCCCATCACCTTTCATTCTCTTGCCTCTTTCTGTTTGCCCTGTGTGTCAGAGACAACAGGTTTGGCTCACGACAGAGCACAGTTCAGAGCTGTTGTACATAGGGTTGCTAAATGTTGCAAGCGACTCAATAGAACATCAGAACAAGAAGAAGCTTAGTCTTTGCCCAATTACTATAAAACCACCTTTCAGTTGCCAACTCCCATCACCTTTCTTTCTATTGCTTCTTTCTGTTTGCAAAGACGGTTAACCCACAAATCATTCTTGATAATCTGCTGAAAGAGAGGGGAGAAAGGAGAACAAAGCCATAAGTATAGGTCCCAGTCCAGTACTCTCAATTTCCAAGGTACACAGGAGTAAGCCTAGCAAGGCCTTCTCTGCTGAAGCCAGGAGGGGATATACCTCAGCAATCATGTTGGCCTCTGGGAGGCTGTGGTTAGGGAACCAACTGAAGAAGTTGTCATAGGTTTTCTGGTTCCTGTGCCTGTGAGATTGAGGTTTCTGGCCCCAATGCCAGTGGATTGCGGTGGAGTTAGACACTATTTGGCATGGGGAGAGAGGAGGCTATAGAGAAGGAACTGGACAAGGGAACAGACTTGCCCTGGGACCACTGCTTAGCTGAGTGGTTATTTTGGAATTCCTTGACAATCACCATATTTGTGAAATAGGAGTTTTTCTGGAAGTACAGCTTCATTTTGTAGCCCATGGAGATGTGTCTGAGATTCTGAATCTTCTCAGGATGGGGGTAATGGTAGAATCTGTTCCTGGTACGCCATGATCCTTCCCACTATCTCCCCCTCACCTCCAAGGACCAGATTTTTTGCCTCACCCTACTACCAAATGTTTCTTTGGCCTGACCTGCAGACTGATTAAATAGAAAAAAAATTCTTTATCACGTTGGTTGATCACGATTGAAATTTTGGTATACCTGAGGGCCTGATGAGGGTAGCAGTTTAGGTCAAGGATTGACTGTTCAGTAAAGGAGGGGAGAAAGAAGGGCCAGATAAGGCAGAGCAAAAGAGGGTTGGAGCAAGAGTTCCCTCCTATGGTCATATAATATGTGTGTAATAAATTGGTCATGGCTTTATTCCCATTATGTGTATAAACTATGTGGTAAAGGTTCACATTTATGTAATGTTGAATGTCTACAAGGTGGTCATATAATTATTTTGTGTCTAGAAACTAAGGGGGTTATGCCTACATGTTTTTGTTTGCCTATGTAATTTGGCTGTTGAGAGCTTGTGTGTTTAGAGGCTGAGGGAGTTTGTCAAGTGATTCTGTATCTAGGTGTTATAGTTCTGTGATGATGTCTGTCTGACTGTTGATGATTTATATTTGCATGATGTTGTGTATCTGAGTCTGAGAGTTTGTGCTTAGATGATGCTGTGTGTCTGGGAGCTGATGGCTCATAGTAATATAATGCTGTGTATCTATGTGCTGAGAACTTGTGGTCACATAATACTGTGTCTGGCTACTAAGTCCTGTGTCTACATAATGTACATAGGTGCTGAAGGCATTAATTATTATGCTACTGTGTATCTTGGGACTAAGGACTGTGTCTAAATGATGCAGTATCTGGTGGCCAAGGGCCTGTGTCCATATCTAGGGACTGGGTAAATGTATTAATATGATCCTGTGCATCTGTATACAAAAGGCTTATGATCATGAGATGTCATATCTCAGTGCTAAAGAGCCAGAAATACAATGCGCATTCTGCATTTTGTAAGTTGATGTTTTATAACAGAATGTAAATGTCTATCTCCATTTAATATTCTTTCAGTAACTTAAACCCATGTATTCTTAACATTTTACATGTGTGAGATGAGTATAGGAGGCAAGTTCATGGGATTTCCCCCACCCTTCCTTTGCCTTCATTTAACTCTTTGAACTCATTACACTTCGGTTTTCCTCGTCCTGATTCTATAGGGGTTTCTATCTTATTATCTCTAATTCAGAATGGAGTCTTAGTGTCCAAGCAGGAACCTAGGCTTGTAGAGCCATGTGTGACTTAAGTGTCCTCTCTAGGTGCTTTCTCTGTTGCATTTCTTCTTCACTCTCTCTAGGATACAGAAAAATTTAATGAAATAGCATTTGAGCCAGAGCCTATGGTGATGGAGGCAGAAGTTCAAGCTGCTTTGAAGGAAATAGCAAAAAATAAG